TAGCTTGGCCCTCAGATATCCATAACAAACAAGGTAGTATCCGCCTAGTGAGCTGTTTCAGTGGCCAATAAAGTTGATCACGGACTAGTTGGGAGCCATTCTTTTAGTGCCCCGATTAGCACGCTACACATCAAACCATTAACGCTAGCAGAGGCAAACGCATTAGGACTTTGTCCAAAGTTAATCCCACAGGCAGAGTCTCTCCGGGGAAGTACTTTCATGTACCTCCAGTGGTCAGCATGCTACCCGGTGAACTGTGCCCACTGTCTGCCATCCCAACACAAGTTAGAAGCCACTTAATAAAAAAACAGAATTTAGAAGCAGCAAGCAACATCGAGCACTAGGAATCAATGAGCATGCTCACGGCCACCCCAGCTCTTTCATGGAAATGGAAGGCATTATTACTACCAGAATCACTCTTTGTGACAGATGTTGGCAATCAGCGGCAATCGGTGTCAAATACTTCCATGCCTGTTTTTTTTTTTAGAAGGTTGTGATTCGCTCCTGGGTATTAGCACCTTGACTAACTGGATCTTTTTTTATACAAGGTTATTTCCCCCCCCCTGGATGGCCAGGTATCTGTCTGCCTGTGTTAGGTGCATGTGTATACAGAAATACAAATGGTTTCCAATGAGCAGGTGGCATTGTTAGCAATAGCGTGAACTGCAGTCTTGATGAATATATTCAGTTGTCAGGGTTTTCTTCCCCCGGTTGACAAGATCACATTTATAAAATCCCAGTAGACTGACCACACCTCTTTCGGCTCCTCTTGAGGAGGAGGAGGAGGAGGAGGAGGAGGAGGAGATTGGATTTATACCCTGCCCTTCACTACCCAAAGGTGTCTCAGAGCGGCTTACAAACTCCTTTCCCTTCCCCTCCCCACAACAGACACCCTTGTGAGGTAGGTGGGGCTGAGAGAGCTCTCTTGAGGACTGCTCTTGTAAGGAAATGTTTTATGTGGACTTGGTACATTGTACCAACCAATGTAAGTTGCCCTGAGCCTGTTCACAGGGAGGGTAGGATATAAATGCAACTAATAAATAAATAAAAAGCTCCGAGAGAACTGTGACTGACCCAAGGTCACCCAGCTGGCCGCATGGGGAGACGTGGGGAATCAAAGCCAGCTCCCCCAGGTTAGAATCCATGCTCCTAACCACTACACAAAACTGGCTCTCATTTGATATGAATTCTGCTTCAGTCATAGTCACTGGTTGGCTTTCCTGGTATGAAGAACACAATTTCACACCTTTCCTCTTGAAGTCACTCTGCTTTCCTTGCCCTCCACCCCAGAATTAGAATTTGCTACCAGATCTGAGCCTGGACTGGATGGTTTATATGAGCCCAATCAGATCTCAGAAGCTGGAATTCACTGCCACAGGAAGTGGTGGCGGCTACAAGCATGGACGGCTTCAAAAGGGAATTAGATAAGCATACGGAGCAGAGGTTCATCAGTGGCTATTAGCCACAAGGTATAGATAGGGACTCTGGGGCAAGTGATGCTCTGTCTTCTTGGTGCTTGGGGGGGCCAACAGTGGGAGGGCTTCTAATGTCCTGGCCCCACTGCTGGACCTCCTGATGGCACCTGGTATTTCTGGCCACTGTGAGACACAGAGTGTTGGACTGGATGGGCCTTTGGCCTGATCCAACATTGGCGCCTCTTATGTTCTTAAGCTAAGCAGGGTCGGCCCTGGTTAGAACTTGGATGGGAGACCACCACGGGAGTCCAGGGTTGCTACGCAGAGGCAGGCAATGGCAAACCACTTCTGAGCCTTGAAAATCCTATATCACTATAAATCACTATAAATTATATGAATCACTAATCACTATAAATTCCTGGCAGGGAGGCGAGGTCCTCCCATTCACTGCATGCATGAACACATGAAGCTGTCTTATACCAAATCAGACCTTTGGTCCATCAGAGTCAGTATTGTCTACTCAGACTGGCAGCAGCTCTCCGGGGACTCAGGCAGAGGTATTTCCCATCACCTACTCCCTGATCCTTTTAACTGGAGATGCCGGGGATTGAACCTGGGACCTTCCGTATGCCAAGCAGATGCTCTGCCACTGAGCCACAGCCCTGCCCCTAATACATGAATCCACGAAACTGCCTTATACTGCATCAGAGCGTCATTCCATCCAGGTCAGTATTGTCTACTCTGACTGGCAGCAGCTCTCCAGGGCCTCAGGCTGAGGTCTTCCACATCACCTGTCACCTTTCACCTGGAAAGTGTGGGGGTTGAACCTGGGACCTTCTGTGTGCCAAGCAGAGGCTCTTCCACTGAGCCACAGCCAGGGGTCATTTCGTAGAAAAAGAGATGCAGGAGCTCATTAGCATAACTTATTAGCATAACATTAGAATATGCAAATAACTTATTTGCATATCGGAAGTGTGTCAGAAGGCAACACCCACCACTCAGGCTCCACTGGACTGTTTTGGATTGCTAGCTATTTGGGGAGGGACGCGCAGATCTGCCCGCACAGAGGAGGGAGAGCTTGTACCTGAAGGTGGGATGTGAGGGGGGGCGCTGCAGCTTACCTGTCTGCTTCTTGCTCCTCGTGGCCCGACTGAGGGCTGCTGGGAGCAGAGGGTGGGGTTTGTTGCATGTGCCCGCCCCCTGGGCTCCTTACTGCCGGAGCTCTGCTCCTGTGCGCTCCTGCAGGAAATGACCCCTGGCCACAGCCCTTCCCTAAACTAGTTGGAGTGCGGGGAGAAGAATGAAATCCAGAGCCATTAAAAATGGATTACTTTTTTGCCATCAACTTCAGGGGTAAAAGCGCCCAGCAGCCCATACATTGTCCCAATTTCCATCTGAAAAACACAACAGCGGTAACCGCAGCATTCTGTACCTGAAAATGCGCCGCGAGAGCAGATAATGTGAGCCGTCGCTTGGGTGTTTTGTTTCAATTCAAGTGCCGCAGTGTGAACATTTGCCATCTAATGGAGTGAAAAACTCTCCCCGTCTCCTAAATGGATGTTGATTCCCCCCCCCTCTTTTTTAAAAGCGGCCTCTTTAGACTATTTTTTGACCTGTAATTGCCAACATCTGTTCGGGATAATCATCCACAGGAAGGAACTGCCATGCACCGGGTCATTTTGCCATCTTTTTCTACCTTGCCATGCAGGTCTGATACGTTAAACACTATGGCTAAAGGTAGGGTTGCCAGCCTCCAGGTGGGGCCTGGAAATCCCCCACTATTACAACTCATCGCCAGGCAACAGAGATCAGTTCCCCTGGACAAAATGACTGTCTTGGAGGGTGGGTTGTATGGCACTATTCCCCAATGAGGTCTCTTCCCTACCTAAACCCCTTTCTCCCCAGGTTCCACCCCAGAATCTCCAGGAATTTCCTGAACTAGAGTTGGCAACCCTAGCTGAATGAGACCTGTCCGTAGATACACCAAGGGCGTCTCTTCCCAGCAGCCTGTTCCCAGGTAGTTCAATAGATAATTCAGCATCCATAATCAGGTGTTCTATGCATTGACATGAACAAAAAGCCAAGGAAATGGGGAGAGCCAGTTTGGCGTAGTGGTTAAGTGTGCGGACTCTAATCTGGGAGAACTGGGTTTGATTCCCCCACTCCTCCGCTTGCACCTGACTGGATGACCTTGGGCAAGCCGTACTTCTGATAAGAGCTGTTCTTGCAAAAGAGCAGTTTCTGTCAGAGCTCTCTCAGCCCCACCTGCCTCACAGGGTGTCTGTTGTGGGGAGGGGAAGGGAAAGGAGTTTGTAAGCCGCTCTGAGACACCTTTGGGTAGTGAAGGGTGGGGTATAAATCCAATCTCTTCTTCTTCTCCTTATGGAGAGATTCTCTAGCACAGGGATCCCTGACCTTTTTGAGCCTGTGGGCACTTTTGGAATTCTGGGACAGTGTGGTGAGGTGCAGCCACAAAATGGCTGCCACAGCTTATCTTTAGTCATATAAGGAAGATCCTTCCGCTGTGGTGACAGCTACTGCCCAAGCAATGTTTTTAAAAATCTGCACAGCCAATCAACTCTCCAGTGGCCAATCAGAAGCCTTGTTGGGGAAAAGCCCTACCTGGGACAACCCACTTTGCGGGCTCCAGCAAAGGTGTCAGTGAACATGTTCCGTCTACGCTGTGGAGTCTTGTGAGCAAAAAATTCTACTTTGTAAGCTACTGGTATTAAAGTGGTGAGCGAGCGATTCGGCCGCTGCATAGATTAGTTTGTTCTGGAGCCATCCTTCCTGAGCTAAGACAAAAATGTGTGAGCTGGAGGCTAAAAAACTGTGAGCTAGCTCGCACTAACTCAGCTTAGAGGGAACACTGCCTGGCACCCAATGGTACTGTGCTGGGGACTGCTGCCTCCGCACCAGACCCCACTGAAATGAAAGCAGAGCTGAACAGCCATTCCTTTGAATTGGGTTATTGCTAGAGACCTTCCTAGTAGATAATGCTCAAATTGCTTCAGAAACTGTCTTGACATTTGAATGAGTCATTCATTTCATATTTAAATGCGATCAAACGATAATAAGAAGGCAGGACTAGATGAATCCTTCAGATTCCTTCTGTTTCGTCACCCATCCGTAACAAGCAGCCATTTTGTATCTCGTTTCCAGATTAGCTTTGACAAATTTCAGGTCAACCCATGCTTCCCCTCTCCTTAAATCTTACTTGTTTCCATACGTTACTTTAAAAAATGTAAAGGCCAAAATTAAAAACACTGAAACATTCTCAAATTGCATAAAAATGGCGGCATGACCACTTTACCAGTGAGATTCTGTGCTCATTGGTAATTGGTTGCCAAATTTTAGAACCACCAAGAGCCACTGGTGCCCACAGCATGATGCTGTTCGGGTCAAGGGGAGAAACAGATGAAGTATTCTACCAACAGGTCCCATTCCCAACGCTTTCCATTCCCATATCAAGCACTTCTCAATATTAACGATATGTCCTACCCACAGGGCATTTGGCTGCCAGGAATGGCGCATACGCTTTTGCAAGGACCAGCCCCAGTGTTTAACTGGGTATTGTGTTTTCACCTGAAATGACTGAGATTGTTTTCAGCGCCCGGAGAACTCTGAACGTTCGTAAGGCTGATACATTGCCCAGGTCCACAAATTCAGTTATGTATCTGCAAACAAGGGAAAGTCACACACGTTGACACACACACAAACAAACAAAAAAGACCATGACAAAAAGGCCAGCAAATTAATGGCAGCAAAAGAAGGAACAAGAGAAAGGGGGGGTTATGAAAAAGGTCATTTGTTGTAGCTGACACAAGATAATGCGAGGATCGAGATGTCTTACCTGGCTTGGTCAAAACAGTATTTTTTTTTTTTAAAGCTTTCATTACCCTGAAAATCCGAAGAGAAGAAAAACTGCCTAGTTTTGTTAATTCTCCTACACACCTGTTGAATTAAACCACAGTTATTTGGAAATACACAGCAGAGCAAACTGACAGATCGTACAAATAATGGATCGAGTTGTCACTTTGGACGTGGTGGTTTTGCTCGTTTGGGTTTTTTTGGTTCTTTTTAAAATTTCAGGGCACCCTTTCCTTTTTCCTGCCCCATCCGCTGCAAAAGCTCTCTGTGCTGTAGAAGATCCCGGAAAGTATTCTTGGATATACAGGTGATTCGGGCCAAGTGGCCAGTCCAGTGTTCCCTCTAAGCTGAGTTAGTGTGAGCTAGCTCACAGTTTTTTAGCCTCCGACTCACACATTTTTGTCTTAGCTCAGGAAGAAGGGCTACAGAGCAAACTAGTTTATGCAGCAGCCAAGTCACTCGCTCACAACTTTAATGCCAGTAACTCACAGAGTAGAATTTTGGCTCACAAGACTCCACAGCTTAGAGGGAGCATTGGCCACCATACTTATCAGCTTTGCCTCTGACTTGTGCAAAATGAGTGCGGTCCTTAAAACACACTCCGCCTGGTTGGCTTACTGCAGAGAAGACGAGAAGAGGTGGGTGATCTGTCTTTCCCGGAAGCCCGTTCATTGTTTCCCGCCGTCTCATAGAGGAGGAAGCCCTGATTGTCTTCCAAGGAATTCCAGCATTCCTCAGAAAGCATTTGAAAACCACTGACATGTGGCAGAGATAAGGCATGGGTCAAGATCTGGCCTTGAGACAGGGAGAAACATTCTTTACCGAGGCCAATGAGGTTAGATGACTAAGCAGCAGGGGTCATTTCCTGCAGGAGCGCACAGGAGCGGAGCTCCGGCAGTAAAGAGCCCAGGGGGCGGGCACATGCAACAAGCCCCGCCCCCTGCTCCCAGCAGCCCTCAGTCAGAGCAAGAAGCAGCCAGGTAAGTTGCAGAACTCCCCTGGTCCAAGACAGTCCAGCGGCACCTTTAAGACCAAGTTTTATTCAGGTACAAGCTCTCCCTCCTCTGCGAGGACAGATCTGTATGTTCCCCCCCCCCATAGCTAGCAATCCAAAACAGTCCAGTGGAGCCTGAGTGGTGGGTGTTGCCTTCTGACACACTTCCGGTGGTATCAGGGGGTGTGGCATATGCAAACGAGTTATGTTAATGAGTTATGCTAATGAGCTCCTGCACCTCTTTTTCTAAGATATGACCCCTGCTAAGCAGAGACTTGTAGACCAATCATGTAGGGTCACTGGTGAGTGGCACAAAGAGTGGGTCTCGTGGGTAGAATGGGTCCTGTTATACAAAACGGTAAAATACATCTCTCTCTCTCTCATCCCTCCAAACTGTAGCCAGAGCTGAACGGCAACTTCCAGGTGGTGGCTGGAGATCTCCGGAGATTACAAATGTTCTTCAGGTGACAGAGATCAGTTCTCCTGGAGAAAATGGTCACCTTGGAAGGTGGACTCTGTGGCATTATACCCCGTTGAAATATTTATCCTCCCTCCCCAGGCTCCACCCCCTACATCTTCAGGTATTTCTCAACCCAGAACTGGCAACCCTCTCAGCGGGATATAATGCCATAGAGTCCCCTCTCTGAAAGCAGCCATTTTGTCCAGGGGAACTAGTCTAGAGACCAGTTGGAATTCTGGGAGATCTCCAGGCCACACCTGGAGGCTGGCAACTATATCACCCAGTAAGCTCATAAATTAACTCAGACCTCCCCTAGCTCTATGGTTTTCCCTCGGATGGTCATGGCCCCGCCCCAGCGTGCCTGGCATCGTCACGTCACTTCCAGGTGATGTGCATGCGGCGCGCGCGCACTCCAGCCACCAACCGGGAGTCCCCCGCTGCGGCAAGAAAATTTGTGAGCTGGAGGCTAAAAAACTGTGAGCTAGCTCACACTAACTGAGCTTATAGGGAACACTGCCGGCAACCCTTGCAGGGATTCGAATCTGGGGGTCCTGGATCCCAGTCCAGCACTCTGATCACCAGCACACACCACACCACTTGTCGAAACACTTTCATTTCCGCTCTAGACGTTAGCACTGATGTGGAGATGAGTGCATCAGCGATTAAGGGGCTGTTAGCCAAGTGAGAAGGGGGGGAGGGGGGGAGGCAGATTCTAAAATTACAGAGAGCCATGAGAGCCAGATGCAGCTCCGGCTCCTGACTCTAGAGGAGTTCCATCTGAAGCACAGACCAAACCAGCCTTTGTGACCACTGAGGAAACTGTTAACAACCCAGAGGGCGGGACGGTGTCCTTGTGGCTTGGGAACTTGATTGTTCCACAGACAAAAAAGGAACTATTACAGATTCATGGTCTGAAAAATCCATTTCCCCCCATATTCATTTCTTTGAGATCCGCTTCCCGCCAAGTACCCCCCCCCCCCAGAATAGGCTTTCTCCGATCAGCGATTAACAATTTAAGGGCTCAAAAATAACCGTGCAATTAAAACAATCAAACGTGTTAAAACCAAGCAGGACTTGATTATAGATCAGTAGAGAGCACAATCGCTTTATTACACAATGTCAGCTGGGAGGGGGGGGGACCTGACAAG